AATTTTTTCTTTCTTCTGCTGTTTGCCGCCAATTGGAGATACCAAATACAGCAGGCCTTTTTCCACCTGGTCTTTCAAACGGAGTGAATGTCTTCTTCTTCCCTTGCTTCCACCGTCGGGTACTGGGTCGAAAACTTTCAAAGCTGTGGTATTTTTATCTAACCAGACCTCATGACCTAGCCAACGCTACCGCTGTTTCTCGATTCGCTGAACTGTGTTAAGGACGCCGTATATCTCCTATAACTCATCATTCCATCGGCTGTGGTATTCGCCGTTCCCAACTCGTAGAGGATCATATATCTTATGTGAAAACCTTTCTCTCAAAAACTCCTAACACGGACTAAACAGATGTTTTCATCTTCCATGCCTCCACACCATAAAGCAATGGCGATTTGGGGAGATGGGAGATTTGCTCATCGAGAGCAGGCTTTACTTTTCAATTGTCTACACCGTCCGTTGGGAAGAGTGCTTTTGCATTGGATTTCATTTTTGTTGTTGGTTGGTGTTAATATTAGCTCGAAGAGAGACGATATTAACTACGGGAATGCGATGAGTGCTTGTTTGATGACAGAAGATATTTCGTCCAGTCCTTGCTCACTACTGCACCCATACGTTCGCCACCTTTATCCAGTCCGAAGAAAGTAGAACTCACGGCGTCTTGTCGAGTTCGCTATACAGCTCTGTTATTGTCATTGTTATTATTTTCTCCAGCAATAAATTAACGACATGGCGTCAACTTGGTCGTTGGTGTGATCGGGTACGCTTTGATCTGACCATATGTTCCATCGTCATCGATTGTGGAATGGGGTTTGCTATCGCCTGGTGTTCCGTCGACCATTTCGCAGGCGGGCGAAGTTTCCCTCCATAAATTTAGTAAATTGAATTAATGCCCTTCACCTTAGGGCAATAATTTCTTATAGGTTTGCCAAACTCTAATAAACCCGTGACTTCACCTGCGTGGTTTTTAAAATTGGTATTGGATTTTTATGTTTTTTATTTTATTAAAACTTTGGAATTATTTGATTTTTCATTCAAATTTCAAGCAAATCGAGCACAGGTCGGTCTCAGGCCGACTTAGCAGAGATGGATCACTTTCAGTTCCGCTTTCGGGAAGAACAAGTGTTATCCATGTCAATCTAATAGCTACCTCTGAACCATATTTCATGTAAATCAAACGTTTTAGGAATTAATTCGCCTTTTCGAATAGATTAACCCCCTGGTCCACTTGCCGGAAAAATCTTTCTAAATGTCAGTTATATTCGGTCTGATACTGAATATCGTCACTTTCATCGCTTTGTCTTTGTTTAGGTATTTTGTACAAGCACTGCAGACGAAACGTTGTGAATTGAGAAAACGCGGAGACCCTGGGCACGGAAAATTTTCTGTTTTGGGAAATTTATTTCTGAAATTATGGTTATTCAGTTTATTTGCTATAATTTTGATATTGAAATCATATATATAAGCCTGTGAAGTTTGCTTAAATAAATAAAACCGATTTAAAAAATAAAAAAATGGAATAAGGGCTGTTCTTTTCAAGCAAAAGCGACCAAGAAGAGAACGGAAAATTGAGTGATCATCGTAGATTTTAAAGGCAACAAGCAGATATTTAGCAGACGATCTTTTTGTGGTTTTTTTGACGAGCTGGTACTGTGTTGTTGCCGAATTAGTGCTATTCGAACTTCCGGCAATTGCTATATAATCTACTGATGCATCATCTACTCGAGATGATTCCTCGCTTCACACTTCAGGAGCTCTCTCTCTTTAAATCTGTTGACGTGTTGTTACTGTTAATATTGCGCTGTGGTTCCTTATCATCATTCACACAGAATATAGCACCAATTGGATTCAACAGCTCTGCAATCCCATCATATTCGCAGCAGATTCTTCAAGGGAGTCAATACAATCTGTTTGTAAACCCCTTCGCCGGTTGCTTTTGACTCTTTTTTGCTGTTCCCCAAGTTCTCTTCACTTTAAATTTGTTATCTTTGCACACCTAAAACAGCTAAAATAATGAAGCGGAAACATTTGCATTTTTACCGTGCTTTGAATTTACCGCCATCCCTCACAGTCGGTCCTACCGCATTAATTTTTCTGGTAATAACTTCCCTCTCTTCTTTTGAATTAAGTTGGATAACGCTTTTTTGAAAACCCCTAGCTAAGCGTGGCTTATTTTCCAATTATGCCACAAAAATCTGAAATTGAATGCTTCTCGTTATCCGCTTCATTTGCTACGTCGTCAGAAAGTTACGTTGAAGAATTGTCAGTGAAATGATTGGAGATAAGATACCATAAAAAACGAATGAAAACGATGGCGATAACGCTTACCGCAAGAGCGTCGTCTGACGATACAGTTGACGATGGCGTCGAACGGCATACTATAAATTTCACTGACGTTGTCGATATTCAGCATAAGACCGATTGCTTATATACTTCACTTATGACCTGACTAATTCTAGATCATTGCCTTAGAAATAGTATTTTCGTCCGCAGAAAAACCTTTTCACACCGAAACGTTGAGGACATGAGACTCAGAACCGACCTTTACATCGTTACAATGCATTGTTTATGTTTATGTTCCGCCTGGATACGATTATTTTGCATAGTTAATGAGCATGTAGCCAAAATAATAAAAAAAAAAATTAATTCTAACTTTTGTACTTTGTACATACATACATACAAATGTATATTTGTAGAAACTTTGAACAATTTTTAATAATGACTTAAGGCATATTTACTACAGAAAACTACCGTAGGACAAGTCTATAAGAATCTCATAAATATTTCTAGGAAATTGTCATAATATGAGTCAAAGTGGTTAACAATGCGTACTAACATTCGGAAGTCCAGCAATGGAGTGGAGAGTCCGACCAACAACTAAAAAAAATTATAGCAAATTTTTTATTTTAATTTTCAGTCGCTTTTCGGCTCGGAATGTTAACCCCTCCGAGTGTATTTCTGACATGAAATAAATGCTTCTCATAAAAAAACCCATCAGCCGTTCGAAGGCGGCTTAGTATAGTCTGTAGGTTCCTCCATTTGTTGGAAGGACATCAAGATACAAAACCCCAATTTCCAAATATTGCACAAATGTTGAAGATTCTTCAGTGAGAAACCAGTTATTTATGTAATTAACAAATAAAAATAAGAATGACGACTTTGAAAAACGGCTAACGCACTCCAATTAGGCGTACCCGATAGGTGCCGAGCTTGTAAAAAGTTTCGACTAGCGCAGTGCGGTTTAAGCTAAGCCATCTCTGAACGGCCGATAGATTTTTATGACGAGGTTTTATTTTTTGCCACAAAAACTCTCGGAGGGCTTGACATTCCCTGCCGAGCTGCGCTCGCTATTAGACCAAAATTAATAAACGAAATGTATGAAAGGACCTCCGAATGTGAAACTCCTTAAATTTTGTTTATCATTTTTATAATCACTTCAAATGAAATATTAAATTTAACCGGGCTGTTTAGCTTTCCCGCGTGGAAACCTTCGAGGCTCAATTGGAAGCAGATATCAATCAAGGATCACACCAGGCACCTGGAAGTAATTTTAGATAGCAGATTTATGTGGAAGCTAAGTGTAAAAGAGAGGGCGAAAAAAGCCAGTGGTGTCTTTACGCATGTAAAAAGATGTTGAGCACCAAATGATTGTTACACAGCGGTATTACTCTACGGCGATCTGGTTTCGTTGGACCGCTGCTCATTTCACTATGTATAACAGGGGCTCTAAGTACGACTAGAACGGTGTCATCGCAATGGAGAGCACCGGAGTCTATTGATCTAGACCTAAGGCAACCCTTCAATCTAACAGAATACTACAATATTTTCCCGGCGGCGGTCTTCGCTATAAACAAAGCTGCTGCTATTACTGGTAACACCGAAAACTGTATAAAAAATATCAACATTTGTCTTCTCCCGACGAACGAAGACCAAAAACTCTACAAGGCCCCCATCGTTCCCGTCCTGCTATATAGTGCGGAAGCATAAACGATGACAACGGCTTTAGGAGTTTTCTAGAGAAGGGTTTTATGTAAAATCTACGGTCCTCTACGGGGAAAGAACGGCGAACGAGAAATACAGCGACATTGACATAGTTCAGCGAATCAAGAAACAGCGGCTGTGCTGCCTACGTCATGTGATCCGAATGGATAAGAATGCTCCAGCTTTGAAAGTTTTCGGGGCAATACAGCAGAGGAAGAGTTGGGCCGCCACGCCCTTGGAAAGACCAGCGCCAAACAGCGAAAAGTAGAATCACGCAATGTTATCAAGGCTAGCTTCCTCCAGAAAACTTGTTTTGTTCATATTTTATTTATTAAAAAAAATTGTTTATATATCAAAGTTTATGTAGACAAGTAGACGTATAAAAATATTAATTGAAACAATTTTTTTTTTATTTTTTTAATGGCGGCTTTTAAAATTGCTGTTGAAACACGTCCCATTTGTTGGTGAGTGACACGATAACTGTAAAACGAATCATGTGAAAGCAAAAATCAAAACGGTTTCCTATTCTGCATCACATTGACTACGGCATGAAAATACAATGAAACATATTCACCAAAAAAAAAAAAAAATGGCGGAATTTTTATTTTTTTTTTACCTTTCTTTATATTTTAATTGTTTTTACATTTTTGAAATGAATATGAAATGAATATATTTGTTTGTAGTGCCGGCCATAGAGACATTTTAGGTGTAAAATCCAGTTCAGTACATGTTGATAAGTTCAATAGCTTCTGAACGAGTGTCATCCAATTGAAAAAACGTGGTTTCGAGAAAAAGACGATCGAAGTTTTTGTTCGAGAGGATCTCCCGCTTGGTCTAGTGGACCTTCGGGACTAAGTATATTTTATTTTTAAGACTATTTTCTACCAATTTACAGAAAAAAAAAAAAATTCTAAATTTTCTAAATTTTTTTAGAGAAACCTGTCCTTAACTTAGAAACTAGAAGAAAACCTCCAACCAGCAGTTGAATCATTTTGAAAAATATGCCAGTAATAAAACAAATATTTTCTTTTCGATTTCTTAATGGATTCATGAGTTTTATTCAAAGAAACAGAATTACACTAAGTAACTTTACAAAAGTACAATATAAAGTAGACACATTAGGCACATTTAACCTTACAAAAGTATGCAAATAAAATAATTAAGCGTAGCAATACGTATGTAACATTGTTGTTCTCTACAAAAACCAAAAAAAAAAAAAGTTTGTATAAAATTTAAATGAAAAAAGAATTAAATTGAAAAGTACATAAAAACAAAAACAAAATTACTACCAATAACCATTGCAGTTGGATAATACAGTGTATAATACGTAGAAATATATTATATACATATGTCAAAGTATGTGCGTATATAAAATATAAGAAAAATAAAATACCAAAAAAATCGATTGTATTGCTTATAGAAAACGAAAACAATAAAATATTCGCTTATACGAAATTCCCAAAGCTTAGAGTTACAAAATAGTATATATCCTTTTTTTTTGCTAGATAACAGTTTACATTTGATAAAAAAAAGAACAAAAGCGTTTAAGCATTAATTTACCTATTACATACATACATATATGTATATATAATATATAAAATTACATTCTTGCTAACTACGTACATTTTCATACTATATACTCGTACTTACAATACATACACGCACATATGTATTTAAATAATATAGTTGTACATATGTATGTATGTACACATGCACACAAACGCACAATCTGCAAACGTAGTACATACATATATGTATAGTATATATCAATCATATACAAACGACACTATATTGATTAATAGAATGCGGCTAACTAATTATTTTTGTATATATGTATGTATATTTTAGGTATTTATCATAACATTTATAAATAGTTTGTTCATTAGTTACTTTTATTTGTCCATAAAATAGAATACCACTTCCGTCTTACTATACAAAATCTAATATGCTTAGTTTCCTTTTTCCTAAAAAAAATATATATATATATTTTCGCAACATAAACATATGTATGTATATATAAATGTGTATACATAAAACTGTGTGTGCTTGACATTTGCTTTTTGTTTTTATTCTTCATTTTGTATTTGCTTTGTGTTCCTTTTTATGTAATGGGATATAAAAAAATTTGCAATATTGACTTTTCATATATACATACATAGGTATGTATGTATGTATAGCACAAATAAGTAATTATATGGTTGTTTATAAGGTAAACGTAAGCAATCACACTACGCATGCGCGCTATCAAACACTATTAAATAAGTTGCAATAATCGAACGGCACCATTCCTTAATGACTGCGGGTGAAGTCTATAACATTGCAAGTGTTTAACAACGCACATGCCACAGTGTAATTAACTATTATATTTATTACTGTACCATAAAGCAGTGGTAGATACTAAAAAGTATAATTTTTCCATTTTGTTTTTTTTTTGTTTTCTTCAACGCTTGGTGGTTGTAGTGACGATTGGTAGTAAATGTTGCATTGTTGTAGTATAATGTACATACATAAATATATAATAGTAGTGTAATAGTTATTGTTTAACAATAGTTATAGACGTCAATTTTGTTTCCCTGTTGTTGCTGAGTTGTTGGGTTTTTGTTTTGTTTTTTTTTTTTAGATGTAAAACTTTAAGATTCGCTTGTTTTCTGTTTCTTTATAAATATTTTAAATATACATATGTATATATGTAAATTTTTTTTACAAAATTTATGCGTTTGGAGAATGTAAAATTGTTTTTTCTTCATTTTTCTTAATTTCTTACGTGCCTACAAATTAATAACAATAAAAATTGTTTTGACTCTTTTCATGTTTTTCCTGCCTATCTATACATACATAATTCCTTACCAACTGTTTACACAAGAAAGCAGACGCGCAGTTGATACTCCTTTTTTAACACCTAATAAATGTACTTAATTAAGTTTTTATTTTTTCAATTTTACTTGCAATTAAATTTTCTTAAAAGAAATAGTTTTTTTTTATTTTCTGCTTTTTGCTTTGCTTGGTTTTGTTTGTTTGTTTGTGGGTTTTTTTTCTTTTCTTTTGTTTTCTTTTGCATTAAATACATATATCTACTGCAAATTGTTTGAACAACTTGGTGATACTAGTATCTAGTTCTAGTTATACATATGTATGTATACTAATAGTATTAGAACTTAGAGCATATGCTAATTCTTCTTCAATGTTGCTGCTTATGTTATAGTAATTTTAATTTATTTATGCTATTTTCCTTTTGTTTTCTTTTGCCAACTTTTTTTAAATACACAATTTCATTTATATGTACATATATATGTATATAAAAAAATCTCCATCTACATATATACTCGATTTAAATTATTAAATATATAATTTTCTTGTATATTTAAAAAATAATCAATTTTCTTTAATTAATAATATATACATACATATATGTACATATATGTATATTACTTAGTTACTAACTATCCTTTGCTTGGTTTATTATTTGTTTTTGTTTGTTTTTTTTTTTTTGTTTATTTCTTTTGTTTTTGTTTTGATTTTAAATATTTGTTACACACTTTATGCTTTATTTGACTTTACGCTGGTGTAGACTAGAGCTACTGCTGTCGGGATTAAGTATAGCATCATTTGTTGATAGCACACCGTCGCCTTCTTTGAAAGCATGACCATTGGCAAAGCCATTCTTATAGCCATTGGTTAGGTGATGATTTGGTTTGATAGTCTCGACTTCTTCGTCTAGGACGGGCTGTAAAATGAGTGGAGGAGAAAAGTGTTGGTTATTGATTTGAATATATTTTGAAGCAAAAAATATATATACTATTCTTTTTAAGAGTTCTAAAATAATTTATTATTACTAAAATTCTATATATAAATTGATTTACATAGCACAAACACATACACACACACCGAAGTCCCCTGTTTTGCCGTTATACCGTTAAGCCTTCTTTTGTATTAACCATTCGCATCACTTGAACCGTTATATCGACTGAAAAAAAATGTTCCCTGCATAAATTGTTCTAAATTTGAGTGTAACTCTAAGCACTCACAATACTAACTTTTATATACCTTTCATCAACATGAAATTGTATATTACCATTATCCGGAAGTATGTATGTAACTACCAGAAAGAGAATACATAGAGATAGAGTCGCGTCATTATACCGGAACCACTTCAATTTTTTTCCCGGCCAAGGATGGTCACTCCTGCAATATTTTCCGAAAACAAATTTGAGGAATATTCATGCTGTTACGACAACAAAAACAACAACAACATAAAGTGCTCCTCGTTTTTGTGAGTACCTTTACCACCAGGCACTATGTTACGGCCAACTGGTTAACTGGATTGGCTTACGAACGCTCAATCGCTGTATCAAGATTATGGCGGGTCATAAATGACGTGGACAATTCTATTTCACCCCTAACAACTTCATCAGCACGCTTCAAACGTTCTTCATCACGTATGCGTGCCTGCCGCCTCTAGACGTTGATGAACTTCAACTGCTTTCTGTTCGAGTTCTTTTTGCAAAGAGTTCCGTACCTTTCGACGGCAATTTTTTGATTCCACGCCATTTTCCAGGAGTCAGTGAATACCTGCAAAGACTCCCTTTCCGTGAATGGCGCACTCAGCACCCAAAGCAGATGAAGAGCTCGAGCTGCCTGGAGAACACGCCTGATACTGGCGCAACTTAACCTGGATATTGTAGCAGGTTACGCTCCTACTTAGCCAGACTCGACCCCAACATAACCAATGTGATGCCTGCATGTAGAGACCAGAAACCGACGAATCTAACAGCCTTCTAACTCTGGTTCGATCCCGTCGAAACAGGACGTTTCCTGGACCTTTCCTTAGATGACATCGGTGATGTAGATTGATCAGCCTGTTCCTAAGCGGGGTTAGTGAGCAGCTACCACAACAACAACAACAATAACATAGATCCATCAAAATTTCTATCGATATGATCAAAGATCAGAATAACAAGCTGAGTTGATTTGGCCTTGTCTGTCTTTTCGTCCATCTATTTGAACATAAACTATTCCTTCAGTTTGTAAGTTCCTATTAATTGTGCCTATAGATATCCTAACGGTGCATACGCCAGTAAAGTAAGTAAGATATCCTAAGCAGAGGGAAGAGATATGAGATTTCAATAAGATTATTCAATGATTTTATAAGATTTGTGGTGGTATAAGAAAATATCGATACCATACATATAACCATAGGATAAAGATTTTCCAGGCAACGACTATTCCAGCTTATGTGACTGCCAAAACTCTAATCGCGGGAAGCAGTGATTTGTACTGACGAAAAAAAAATGTCCTAAAAGGATTGTCAAAATTCTTTTTTTCACTAAATTGACACACAACTGTCCTCAATATTGACTTTCGAGTTTGAGCGCATTCTGTCATTTAAGTCTCGCATAAGTGTCTCGTCGATGAAGAATTTTTTTGAACCGCCACCCATAGTTTGTGATTTAAGAAACCATTCGACGTAGGTATGGCGGCTTCATTTGTTGTGTGAGCTGGACTTTATATGGATGTATGTGTAAGTCTAAGTGCAAAATAAGCCGTAAGAGACGCCTAGCTCTTGAGCACGTCGAGAAATAGACACATTCGGGTCTTCGGTCACACATTCATTCATAGTAGAACGAGGAAAATGGTGATGCAGAGGACCTACAATATCAGTTATCCATTTGGTCTCTACAAATTTCTTCAAAATTTAACCAATTGCTTCAGTAGTTGGACGAATATTTTTATAAATGTCTGAATGGCAATCGGTAATGCGAAATGGATTACTTACGAGACTCTGAAGTGCTGGAAGCATGCCAAATTTGATCAATTTGCTATTTGTCGACACAGGCCAGGTCGGTTGACTATATCATATAGATCCGCGTAAAAAGCATCTAAGAACATGAGATTTGGTACTCTACATGCGTTATTTTATTGGCATAAGTTTGCTGGGGTTAACCAGCAGCCACATCAACTCAACTCTACTACGTTGCTTTAAATAAATATTGACATAGAAAATCACCGAAAACGAATATTGAGTTTTCAATTTATTGGATATGTTGATATGTTCATGAAAGGTATTAAGACTTCGTAATGATCGAGGATGTTTGTTCACCTTAAAATTTATTTGCTGGACAACATGTCAACAACTAGAGTAGAAAATCCTCTAGAAAAACACTGAAGCTGTTGTGGAGCTGGTATAGACGATTGTGGTGTGAATTTCCACAGATGGAAAATATTTTTTTCCACCTTTTGGAGTTTTCCCCCGACAACCCACAAACTTCCTAAGTCGTTATTGCCAGACGCTGCTGTGCTCGTCTCCGCATTATGATATCATTAAAAAAAAAAAAAGTTTCGAAGGCTTTTTAAACTCATCTGATATTTATCTTAGTTTAAATAATAACAGTACTATTTTTTTTTAACTCGCTTATGTATACGAGTTCACATTTTCTTTAGAACAGAGCACAGTGTTTTTGATTTTTCTTACAAAATTTTAAGTATTTAAATATACTTGCATATGTATGTGCGTATAAAAAAAACACGACTAATATAAAAAAATTGAAATATAAAAACCAGATTACTTATGAAATTAAATTCTTAATAATATTTAAAAGCATTTTGAAGGCTTGAATTGACATTAAAAATTATCACAAGGAAACATTTATATATATATACATAAATATATACAAATATGAGTATATATAAAATGTATATATAACATAAATATGTATATATACAATGTCGCGTTTTCCACTAAATAAGATTAAGATATTCAAAACGAAAAAAATTCTGCTTAAAAACATTTACACTAACAATAGAAATAGCCTTAAGTGAACCACGTGTCGGTCAATACTCCATTATTATATATGTATGTCTACTATATACATACTTATACCTTGGACATTGTATTATATAAATCTGCTTAAACATTTACTTGCGTTTAGGTTGAAGAAACACTTTTACAGTAGATGAGAGTGGAGTAGTACTTCAAAAAAAAAAAAAAAATATCAACAATAATAACAATAATAGCAAAAACCACTCATAACTTTAAATAGCAAACAGCAACGTCAATGATGACAATAACCTAACAAATTGGCACCTGTGCGTTAGAGTTTAATATTCAATGTTTAATACCGTAATTAGTTTCGTTTACTTAAGCACTTGGCACAAATTTTATTTGCAACGCTTGGAAAACAAAAAAATAAAAATAAAAAAATAAACGGACAGTTGAGAGCTTTTTGCGCATGCTCAATAACTAAATACATACATATATTAATGGGCAATTGACTTATGGTAGGGCAATATATTTTTCGTTTATTTACTAATTGGCAAGTGTTATATATGTTTTTTTTTTTAAGACAGTTATCTAAGAATATGTTGTTGTAAATCAAGATATAAAAAACATTTGCAAAATAAAACTAATTTCTATGTTTTAATCGTATTTCACTGAAATTATTAAAATGAAATAATATTTTAATTATTTGCTAAGGTTAATGTAGGATCACGTTTGTTTATATTTTAAAAAACGAATTTAGAAATAGAAAAGCAATTATATCTTTAACACTTAAATTTCCTTCTTAGTAATTATAGTTTAACTTTTGAGCAACTTGAACACTTTAACGAATGGAAAGAGTAGGTTCGCTGAAGTTTTGAGGTGAAATGCACTAGAACTTCAAATATGAGCTCACAAACACCACTTCAGTTTTGTTCACCTAACCTCACTTTGTTCGTGGGCCTTTTTGTTGCTGTTAAATCATTAATTATTTATGCTTATGGTTATGAGAATACAAATGCAGCAGCAATGGCAGCTCTTCTCAAATGTAGTGCAATTTAACCGTAGCCCATAAATGCCGCTAACGAACTTCATTTCATTCATAATATCTGTTTCTCTTACGACTAAGTATACTTTGTACAACAACTCACCATGCAAGCACCCTTATTGCTATCATTGGACGCCACCAGATGATTGGACAAATCACCATTACTGGCTGATATGCATTTGCCATTCGCCGTTGCAGTCGCAGCATCAGCAGCAGATATTTTAGTATAACCATTTGTATTGGCCTTCACTGCTGTCTTATTTGTATATTTGGTTTTATAAAAGTCAGAGAAGAGGAACAGGAACATAACGCCATGTAGGCCAATCCAAATCATAAATCCTTGAGGATAATCACACTCTCTGAAGAGTAATTGAAATTGATGGGTGAAAATGGCGACAAATTGTACCTGCAAGCGTTATAAATGAAAAGAAGATATATATATATATATAAGTAAATATATATTAGATAAAATTTAGTTTTTAATCTGCAACGTACCATTTGGAAGGTAGTAAGGTATTTCTTCCACCAAATGTATTTCTGATATTTAGGGCCCATAGCGGCAATCATATAATAGAAATACATAACAATATGTACAAATGTGTTGAGCAGCGCAAAGAATGTGCTGTGACCACCTGGAGTTGGAGAGAAAGAAAATATTAATTTGATTTTATCAATACTTGACATGATTGATTATAAAAATATTAAGATTTATGACATATTTGCCTTTACAGTAATTAAATCATAAGCTTTTATTTTAAAGGGTTACATGGGTTTATTTCATTTATTATTTATTCCATCTATTTGCTGTTTGAAAATATATATTTCGAAAAAGAATTTGCATGACTGCGCCATTCTCGGATTCCTTCTCCGGAATTCATCCTCGGCAAAAAGGTGAGTCTGCGTTGACAGTATAACTCGTGCGAAATCAGCCGAGGTGATAAACAAACAAAAGAATCGTTTTTTAGTTTTAAAAATGTTTCTTGCCAAACGTTTTTTTCTTTTTTTCAGAAAAAGGAATATGCAATTCTTAGTTAAATTTCTTTTTGTTTTTTTGTTTCGGTTGAAAAAAATAGGGAAATCCTGCATCCATTTTTTCGTGAATTGTATCTTGAATATAAATATTTAGGAGTAAAATGTGTCTTTCAGCCTGATTTGAAAATTAAAGATAATATTCCCGGAATATTATAGAAATTAATAAGACAGCAAAATATGGAGTTTTTGAAGCCTTGACACCCATCTTACCCCTTAATAGTATATAAAGCAAAATAGCAAACGTTAATAAAAGCCAAAATTTTTCTCTTTTTACCTGGCGCAAATTTCATGCCCATCCATACGGAGAAGGGCATGCAGCCATGATGTATGACATGCAACGTTGATACATGTGCAGTTTTCTTACGCAATATGAAGAATATCGTATCAAAGAATTCTGTGAATTTTGAAATGTAATACCACCAACAAACACGTGCCATCTGCGATTTGAAAATGAAAGAAATTCGAAAGAATAAAATAAATAAATAAATTAAGCTCTAATAAAATGTTTTTTTTTTTTTTTTTTACTTCAGTTGTATGATTATGTAAATGTATATGTAGATGTGTATGCCGGTGAATGAATGAAACTCATTAGCATATAATAATAATGTTAAGCAAAAGCAAAATGAAAAAAATATCTACAATAGCAATTGTTTAATTTCACCAGCATATAATAGACATATTGACCATTCACATACATAAAAAGAAGAAAAACTTACACGCATCGCCATTGGATTAGTAGAGTAATCGACAGGTTGACATTTGAAACTGTAATGGCCCCACCAGCCGCTTCTTAAGTACTGAAAGTACAAAAAAAAAATATTTAAAAAAAAATAAAAAAAAAATTAAAAAAAATTAAAATTCAAATTAAAAATTAAAATAAAATTGTGTTCTTTCTGTGGTTTGATTTTAAATTCTTTATCGTACTCACCTCATAGAAGATCCACGCACTAAATAATGTCTGCATCAGATTATAGTAAACGAGTACTTTGCGCAGATCCATTGCTTTTCGTTTCGCCATCAAACGCGGCGCCAGTGATTTGCTGAAGTAAGCATAGAATACGCAGAGTGCTAAGGTGGGGAATGGTGATGACATCATGGGCCAATCTCTGACACGTGAATCTGTGGAGGGCGAAGAAAAGTGGAAATTAAATACATGAAAATATTTGCGTTTAAAATTTGTTTTAATTATTTGAAAATTTATGCCGAATACACGTTTTTAGCTACCAACAAATGAGTAAGTATATGAAGATTATTAAGTTTCATATATAATAATTAAATTTTAATCATGTTCAAAAAATACAAAGGGCGTTCAGAACCTAGTAAAAACCTGAAATACGTATTTTTAATCGCTTTATTATTAATGTCGAATTATGTAGGCTTAATTGGTAGTGTGATTTTTAATTAATAAAAGCTCAATAAATTAGTGAAAGTAATATAAGTGAGGGGTATTTCTGAAGAAATTGTGGTACATGCGAGCTTCAAAGCCAGATATCGTAAGAGTCAACCCGCTAAAATCTAGCACAGTGAGTCCTACTCATTTAGCAAGGGTTCAATCATATCGAAATATAATAGGAGGAATATAGAATAAACTTTGCCTCCGATTTTCGATTATGTTAATACGGTTTCACTGTATTTAATTATGCATAAAGACGATACCAACAGGCAGTTGAAGTGAAGAGAATAATTAAACGGCTTCTCCATCTTAGCGAAGGTGAGCGTCAGCCTTTCTGACCCGCTTGCATGGTGACCCTTAATACTAGCTGTACGATGTCAAACTCCTTTTGGCCTAAAGTTACTGTGCGTGTCATACGATAGTCAGTACTCCTGCATATCGCATACTGTACCACGATTGTTAATATGTTACAGAGCCTTAAAAAAATCCTAAATTCGCTGGTCTATCGCACATAGGGTAAATACAAAGAAACATACAAGACGATCTGCCGAGGAGTATGCGACGAAGGTGATAAAGAAACTAATCAGAATGTCAACCCTCACGATGCCGGCTGTATTCCATCTCTATAGCGAGACGTTTGTGAATCTATCATTAAGCACAATGACATGCTTTGTAAGTAGTATTTGCTGCTGTGGTATGACAGATGATCATCATTGACGATATGTACTTGAGGCAAAAATAAGAATACGACAAACTTTAGACAACACCCGCGTGCTGACGATAAGCTCAAGAATACGGCGATAAAATATCATTGCAATCGGTTCTCTACATCGAAAAGATAAGCCCAAGGACTGTCACAGCACTCGATCTTGACATACACAACAAATGCCTTGAAAGCAATCTACTCTTTGTATGCCTGCTTAAGACTCCACTCAGTTGAGTACGAGCTTATCAAGACAACAAACTAAAGGTTTTGAACACTTTTCACCGAGAGTAAATGAACCCCTTTGGCGGTTTCCAAACCACATTGCAGAGGATAGTTAGAACAGATTTAGCTTGGATATATCCAGATACGATCCCGAGCCTGACGAAACAGTGAATTTCTTGAACTTGCTTTGAGATGACATCAATTGCCTTATATTATATTTAATGATATTGGAGAATAAAACGTTCTCCGCTGTTTTAGTTACTAGAAGGTGTTGGTACTCTTATTTCAGCCAAGACTAATCCGATTGTATCGAAATAAAGGCCATGAGACAGTCTAGAATAATTTACTGGCTACTCAAAGAAGCTCGGATGTTTAAGTGCCACAGTAAGATGCAACAAAACGAAAACATTTTTGAAGCAACTCATCTCACTTGCTATGGAAAATGGATTAAAAACGACTTTTAAAGCCTGAATTGATGACGAATTGGGAGTTGCTGGGATATGGTCGCATTAGAAACGAATTATCCAACCAAAAATTGCAAAATATCGTCGATAAGAGTGGCAAAATTTCCTCATAAATCACATGCAGATAAATGGGGTACAGCAGAAAATAATAACTGATGATTTTTTCGCGACCCAAGGTAGTAAGAGATGTCCCATCATCTAGTTACTCATAATACTAAATGCGGGACTCATTATTTTTTTTTTTATTAATTTTTATTATTATTATTTTTTTTATTTTTTTTTATTATTTTTATTTTATTATTATTATTATTATTATTATTATTATTATTATTATTATTATTATTATTATTATTATTATTATTATTTTATTATTATTATTATTTTTTAATATTATTATTATTATTTTTTAATATTATTATTATTATTTTTTAATATTATTATTATTATTTTTATTATTATTATGTACCCGGAGGCTGAAATTCTCGCAATTTAGAGCCGAAAAAAAATTTAAAGAGATATCATCGGTTCTTCAGGACTCTAACCATTCATATACGATGGTGAAAAAATGGGCTCGGCTGTTGCAACAAGGAAGAGAGACCCGTGAAGATGACACCCGCCCAGTGACGGACATGACCGAAGAAAATGTTCAGAAGGTCAAAAAAAAAGTACTGGCTCATTGAAGAATTAAATACTGGCAGCTAGCAGAAGGATTACAGATTAGCAAACAACGAGCTGGAGAGATTTCGCATGAACATTTGAATATGAAAAAAATAAGTTCGCGTTGGCCATTTAGCCGTTTAGAGAGTTGTGCCAAGATGATTTCCATGAAATTTGCAACCATATCGCAAAATTGATTGATAAAACTTGGTTTCGTCAGTATGATCCCGAGTCCAGACGAGAGTCGATGCAGTGGATAAAAAAAGAGATGAAAGATAACGAATTTTTAAGAGAAATCTAAAGAATATTTTTTCGTGGTATAAAGGCATTATATTCACTTAAGGGAGGCTAAATTGAAAAATAAAAAACAATTCATTGGTTTCATTAAGTACTTTAAGCCGCGAACTCATCAGCCGCCCCTTGTAATTAAGTCGTCCATTTTCGATGATTTTCGGAGCTATCTTTTATAATCGTCCGATTTCGACAACTTCGAGTATCAGTTTCAGCCCTTAGAAGGTTTTTTTTTAACAAATTTATGTTGCAAAATCTAAAATATTAACAAATCGGTCGTATATATACTAAATTGATTCGACCTGATCGTTTGAATGTACCAGTAGATTTGTGTATCCACTTTGGTTAAGAAATAAAGGCTAAATCTACTCAACTCTCTCTTCTCACCTCTTCTCCTTATGGTCCCTACATACTTCGCACCAAAATTGGTATACCATTTCATGTACTTGAAAGGTATAAATATACAATCACAACTCACCACTTCGATTGTCCATGAGATCTCTGTACCAGTCATAAACTTCATGTAAGATAACAGCCATTTTGATGTGCGTTACGTTTTTTCTCTCTCACGCCTCACTCGTTAACTGTAAAGAAAGAAAAAAATACATACATTAAACATATATTTCCTACTTAATCAACCGTCAACAGTAATCAGAGCGAAAATTCTATAAGGATGCACATGTGTGCCTAAAAAAAATAAAATAAAATATAAATAGGAAATGATTGCATAAAACAATCTCATCTTCCAATGGAAAATCCCCAACAAGGCGGTAAACAACGAAAAAACACAGTTGCGAGTGATTGCAACGCATTAAACGATAAGGATAATGACAGGCAGGGAAGCAGAAAGCACAAAGGTGCAACCCCACATGCTTCAATGCCAACGTGAAGTGGCGGCAAGAAGGTTAAAAAAAAAAATAAAAAAAAATAAAAAAAAATAATAAAAAATATTCCACTTTAGCGTTGCAATGTAGTGACGTTTCCCTATTGGTTTTATTACCGTTGCATGGCGCAGTCACACATACTCGCACACATACTGCAAATAATTACAGTTAATTTGCTATTGTTGCCGTTGTTGGCACCGCTGTTATGGCTAAGCGGCGATAAATTTAAACAGGTTTAATCGCATTATGCATAATAGGAGGCTCACTGATTGACTGCAGCAGCGAACGAGTGAACATTACAGGCAAAAAGTTATTTTCAATTTATTTTTATTTTTTTATTTTCTTGCTTATTGCATTCACCTTTATGGAAATTTCTGACTACATATTACGGAATACTACGAACTAGAATAATAACAACAACAACAAAGAAAAGCAGCAACAAGCGTATTAAGCATTAATTTGTTAATTGAAAGGCGGGCACAAACCACAATAGCATCACTAATCAACTGGGTAACAGGAAAAAAAAATTATTATTATTTTTTTTTTTTTAATTTTCGGTTTTGATATGAAATCAGTGTCATTAATGGCAAGCTATTTACTTTGTTGTGCGCTTAGTTTGCAGGGAGCCTGATTATTGGGATTCAAAGCACACATAGGTGTGTATTTATGTTTGCACATATGTTTGTATGCTTGTCTGTATGTATAAACATATGCAATTGTCGAGCCAATACCCGGCAGGTAATCAAAAAGTTATGCCAACAATTACAACAACGATTTGGCAATTAATTTGACATTGAGTCAGTTAGCAGAGAGAATATTGGTAAATAAATGTGCATACATACATATGTATGTACATATCAATATAATATACAATGAAAACAAATTACTGCTACTATGCTGCTTGTAAGCTTTCAAGTGATTGTGCGTAAAGCAAAAAATGTGTGAAACAGGATTTTAGAGTGGAAAAAATTTTCCATGAAATTCTAGTATGACGCACTTCCTTATGCCACTGTGGCTTTCCGTAAAGGTAGTAGAAATGTTTCCATTGTAGTTAAAGACAATAAAGCAAAATAAAATAGAATAAAGAATAAAATATAATTAAGAAAAAAAATGAAATACAATATAGTAAAGTAAATTGAAACCAAAACGAAACAAAAATTAATAAATTATAATAAAAATAAAAACATTTCATAAAATGAGAAAAAGCGAAATTAATTTTATTTTATTTTGTTTCATTTTTTATTTTGTTTATTTTTATTTTATTTTTTTCTTTTCATTTAATTTAATTTCATTTCATTTGATTTGATTTGATTTGATTTGATTTGATTTGATTTGATTTNTTTTAATTTTTTTATTGTATTTTATTTTATTTATTTTTTTATTACAGTTAATGTATTGTATTTTATTTTATGTTGATGTGTTTTATTTTTCTCAATAAATTAAATACAATAAATAAATAAATCAAAATAAAATAAATAAAATAAAACAAAGCAAAATAAGATTAAAATACATCATATGATATATATATATATATATATATAAGTGTGTAAAATATTACATTAGATTAACTAAAATGAAATAATATAAGAAGATCTGCACCGCGACCTTTCTCATGCTCATGTTTATTGTCTGACTACTGTGGTTAAGCAATAGCAACATCAATGAGTTGCCAACCAACATTCTTTTGCATTACAAAATGAAGTTCTTTATATGGAATTTTATATTATATGTACATAGATAGTACACACATACACACAAAAATAGGTATGTATCGATATATCTATCATCTGCTTATCATTTCGTTCATTGACACTCGCTTATTGCCAATATTGGCACCCAATCGACTGAACACACGTGCAAACCTACATGCATACACATTGTGCAAGTCGAGGTTCGAATGAGTGATTGCTAAATTTCTATTTTCCTATCAGCAATTTGAATTTCAATATGAATAGACACCACAATACGCGTGCTGTGCTCAATAAAAATTTGCAATTGCATACACGTACACAAATGAGAATACATAGTGGTTGTGACAATGCCCTCTAGTACCTACTAGGAGCAATCGCGTACTGACAAATCGTCAGCCACTTTGCACACACCAGTAGTTGCCGTTCAATCTACTCGCAATGCTTTCGACACACGTATTTTAACATGCACATGCCCTAGAGGTAGTGGGGCATAGCCACCGCAGAATTAAAAGTCCGGTCAACAAGTTTTACGACCAACGGTAACGGCATTAAAATAATCAAGATAAATATGGTTGACAAATTTCCTGGAATGACTAGACAAATAGAAGTAGTCATGTCTGGATTAGGTGAAACTCGATTCACACATTTCTTGGATCATATGTACGGGTGTTAGCAAATATTGCGAAAAAACTGACTAAATTCATTATTTTAAATCTTTGGAAACTACACTTCAGAAACTAGTGCATTACTACTGACATGGTGATTTCTTATCGCTTTTGAGCACTCGGCTGCACGATTTCCAATTAACTCCTGCACAGACGTTTAAGTGTGTATGTGAACTTTACTGGGAAGAAAGAAAATAACTGATAAAGCTCACTTGCTAAAAATTCTTCAGAGGTCAAATAAGAATTAGTCAGACTTTATAAATATAACATAAAATTAATAAATCCGCAAAAATGCGGAAAATAATTATCAACTGCAGTACAAATCAAAATGAAATAATAAAAAAAAATAATTAAAATTGTGTATTCGATTCTTTAAGTCAATAAAGAAAATAAAAATAATAAATAAACAAAATTAAACAAAAAATAAAATAAAATAAAAAAATTAAATCCATTAAATAAAATATTTAGAAAAAAGTTGAAATAAAAAATAAAATAAAATTAATTAAAAATATATAAATAAAAATTAATGAATCAAAATAACGTAAAAAATATTGGGTGTATGCATTAATTCGTGCGGTTTCTAAGAGAGGGCTCTAGTAGTATTATTTCGCGTCGTGTTCATCTGTGGCCATATTCATTTCAAAGGCACTGTCATTTCGCGTCGTTTTCAGTAGATGCCATTTGTTTTAGCGTGAACAACAATTTGTTCATTCATTTGAAAATGTCGAAATTTGTACCAGATAAAGTGTTTTTGCGGGGAGTTCTTCTTCATTACTTTAAAATGAAGGAAAGTGCTACCGAAAGCCTTCGTATTTTCCTGGACGTTTATGGTGACCATGCTTCAGCCGAACGAACGTTCCAAAGTGGATTGCACGGTTTAAAAGTCGCAATTTCGACTTAGACGATGAAGAACGACCCGGACAGACAAACAAATTTCATTTGGAGACGTTGCTCGAAGTATATGCATGCCAGACGCAAGAAGAACTTGCAAAAGTATTGATCGAGCAACCGTTTCCAGGCGATTAAATTATTTCACAATAAAGTCTAAATTTTCGGAAAAAAAACACATTAATTAATGCATACACCCAATAAAATAAAATATATTAAAAATGTTTTAATGCAATAAAAAAGAAAAATTGAAGAAATAAATAACTGTAATAATAATAACAGTAATATAGCAAATTAACATAAAAGTTATATGAACTGAATTCAATCAAAATAAATTAAATACAAGGAAAAAATAAACAAAAATTCAATAAAATAGAAATGAAATAAAAGAAAAATTTTAATTGAATAATATAACAGAAAAACTACAACATTAAGTTCATATCAAAAATTATATATATAAAAATTATATATATAAAAAATAAAATAAAGCAAAATTATATTAAATAAAAGAAACAAAAACCAAAATAAATATAAGACTAAAAAATAAATAAACTAAATTAGATATGAAAAAAAAATTGAGAAACGTAAAAGTAATGAAATTAAAAGTAAGGTAAAATCAAAAAAGGAAATATAAAAAATAATGTGTTGCATTGAAATAAAATGAAATTAAAATAAAATAAAATCTAATAAAAAATAAATAACAAATAAAATACAAAATAAAATTATAAGATAAAATACATTATAAAATAAAAGAGAAAAACATCAAAATAAAATAAATTAAAAAAAAAACACAATATACTAATATAAAAAAATTGAAATAAAAAAAAATTGATTAGAAAACAAAAACAATACAAAAAATAAAATAAAGTAGAATAATCAAAACAACATACAAAAAAAAATAAGGTTAAGAAAGAAAATAAAATTAACAACAAAATAAAATAAAAAAAGAATAAATCAAATAAAATATAAATTAGGATAAAAATTAAAACGACACAATAAAATGAAATAAGAAAGTTAAGTGAATAACATAATTCCGTAAAATAAATATATTAGTATAAGATATTGGCTAAATAAACTCTTTAATAAATAATTATTATTATTTGTTGATATGCATACGATCAACGCCTACACAACTCCCAAAAGTCGAAAGCAATCGAGGCAAATGCGTTTTACAATACTGTTATTTTTAACACACACAGTTATAAATAATTATTTTGTAACTTTCATGGTTTTTGAATTTTTTCCATTAGCATTTAATTCAACAATGATGTTAACGAAAGTAATTCATTGATGGAATAATACGATTAAAATGGTATTAACGTGTTATACATTTCAATACATACATATAAATATGTAAGCATGTATGTGTTCATACAGATAATTAAAATAAATTCCAACATTCGATAATATAATACGGCATTCAAGTCTTAAGTGCACATATATTGTGATTGTATCC